GGGTGGGCCTGCTGCTGCCGGCTGGAAGGGACCGAGCCTGACCGCGCCTGGTCCTCACGGCCCCCTGCCCGCTTCCGAGCAGGCCCAGGACCGGCCGGCTCAGAACTTGGCAAAAGTTTTGGGGTTTCGCCACTAGGCCGGGTCCACTTGCCTACCTGGGAAGGGGCTGGGGTGAGCTTGAGGCCTCCGGGGCCACCACTTGCCGTGCTGTGTGTCTTCAGACAACCAACTGCCCTCTCTGAGCTGGAGTGCCTGTCAGTGGTGATGGGCCTGGGGGACTGCTGGGCTGATGGAAAGGTGGTGCTGATGGAAGGGGCTCACCTGCAGGGTGTCATCCCGCCCCCACCCCTTGCTTTCAGGCACACTTGAGAGTGGGCAGAGTGCTTGTGGGGCCCTGAACAAGGCTTGCTGAGCCTCGTGGATGCTGTCCAGTTGGGGCAGTGGTCTCCACGTCACCTGGGGTGACAGTTGTGCTCACACTTGGTTTCAAGGGTGGGCCAGCCTGGCCCTGTTGCTGACGCCTTTCTCCGCCCCTGGCTGGGGAGTCAAGATACCTAACCTTGTGTTGCACGACTGAGGCTGAGGGCCTGGCCCACTGAGCCCCCACGTGTGAAGTGGGGGTCCTCCGGCCAGGAGTCTCTGTGCTTCTGCATCTGAGGATTGGCATGTAGTAGGTGCTCAATAGACGGGTCCAGCAGTGGATGAGCTGCCTGAGAGGGGAGGAGGGGCGCTTGCTGGCTGCCATGGAGCCGACCTCCGGAAGGAGACGGTGGGTGCCTCTCAAGGTATCCCAGAACCCAGGAAGAAATAGCCCTGGCTCCATCTGCCAGCACAGCCGAGGACCTTAGGTCCGACCCCGCTTGCCTCGGTTTTGTAAGCTGTAGAATGGGAAAACAGCAGCTGTCGCCGGCTCTGCTCAACACCTTTAGGGTCGGGGCTCTTGCTTATCTTCATTTTACTGATGGGGAAACTGAGGCTTGGACAGGGGACCTGAGGACCAAGGCCATGCAGTCTGAGGCTGGAATCAGAGCCTCAGAGACCCCAGCCAGCTGCCCTTGAACGCCTCCAGGGGTGGTCATGGTCGCCAGCATGGGACAGGCACAGGACAGTCATGGGGAGACTCCACTTCTGGTGACTGATGGCAGCCACGAGGCTGCCCTGGAGATGTGGTGTGCCTGGGCGCTGGTGATGCGGTCTTTCCACCGGGAAGTGACTGGAGTGTGTCACTTCTCTCAGCTGACTGCCTGCCTTGGCCTGGTGCACCCCGGCCTCAGAGCACCCTGCCAGACGTGCCCTCCTGCTGTGGCCGGCCTCCACTCTTGACTTTCCAGGATAACTGAGGTCCCCTCTCCTGGGAGCCCCACGCTGCCCTCCGTCTGTCCCCTGGCCTCTCCCAGGGCCATGAGTTATCCCCAGCACCCAGGCTGGCTCCTGCCTTAGCTTCCCCCTAGATTACCCCTTGGGGGTGGGGTGGGGGTGGGGACATCCAGGAGGACATGGCTCAGTGGCCTGCTGACACACCCTCTCCTCCTCATCCTCCTGCTCTCAGCTGACTCGTGTCCTCAAACCTGCCGAGATACAAGTATCCAGACCCTGCATTGAGCATCTACTATGGACTGTGTGCTCTGAACCCAGCCGAGTTAGCAGGGCAGGTAGTTAGACCGGGAGGTGGTCCAGAGCTGGGGGAGCAGCAGTTCAGCTACAAAGACTGGGAGTGGGGCTCTTTCTTCGTGGGCCCCTTTGGGTTGTGAGCAGTGGCTAGTGCGGTAGGTACTTGCTGGGGACTTACGAAAAGTCCTTGGCCTCTCAGAATCTGGAGAGGAAGCCAAGTAGCAAACAGGCTGCCAGATCAATGAGTGCATAATCCCTGAAGCGTAGAGGTTCAGACGGAGGCCTGGGGTACAGAGGAGTCTTGAAGGAGGCATGCGGAAGTCGTCAGGTGAAGCTCAGGGAAGGGCTTGCCAGGTGGAGGAAGTGCATGTGCCAAGGTCCTGAGGTGGCAGAGTGTGCACTGTTGTGGGGAAGAAACTGGGGAAAGCCTGCGGGGCTGGAGCCCAGGGAATGAAGTCAGTATGTGAGAAGGGAAGTGAGGCCAGCTATCAGCAGGGCTGCAACCTGTAGAGAGCCTGAGGCCTGGGGAGGAGTTTGGCCTCTATCTTTACGCAGGGTGCAGATGGATATCCCTCACAGTGAACGGCCTCACACTGGAGGCCAGGAGTGCAGAGCTGACCAAGGTACCTGAGGGAAATAGATGTGTAACTGGACTCCAGTGCTGTATGGGGGCTAATCGGGTCTCAAGAGGAAGAGGCATGTGAGGCTGGGCTTTGAAGGTAGAATAGGAGTTCAAGAGCAGGAGGGCTTGAGAAGGTGAGGGCCAAGGATTAGGGAGTATAATTTAGGGTGGCTGGAAGCTGGGATTGAGGAGAGAAATAGGGACGGTTAGCCGGAGAGATGGAGGCCAGAGGTATGGTAAGGGCTTCAAATCAGGTGGGCCTGGGTTTGAGTTCTGAGCGTTCTTGCTGTGTGTCTGAGTCATTCATTGTATCTTTCTTTTTTTTTGGTGCTGGGATTGAACCCAGGGACACTCAACCCCTGAGCCACACACACCTAGAGACAGGGTCTCGCTGAATTGCTTAGGGCCTTGCTAAGTTGCTGAGGCTGACTTTGAACTAGTGACCCTCCTGCCTCGTCTCCTGAGACACTGGATTACAGGCGTGCGCCCTGAGCCTGGCTCATTGTGTCTTT